GGAACGAGGGGGACAGCAAAGGGCGAGAACGGAGGGGGGACAGCAAAGGGGGAGGAACGGAGGGGGACAGCAAAGGGGGAGGAACGGAGGGGGGACAGCAAAGGGGGAGGAACGGAGGGGGACAGCAAAGGGGAGGAACGGAGGGGGACAGCAAAGGGGGAGGAACGGAGGGGGGACAGCAAAGGGCGAGGAACGGAGGGGGACAGCAAAGGGGGGGAGACGGATGGGGGACAGCAAAGGGGGAGGAACGGAGGGGGACAGCAAAGGGGAGGAACGGAGGGGGGACAGCAAAGGGGAGGAACGGAGGGGGGCAGCAAAGGGGGAGAAACGGATGGGGGACAGCAAAGGGGAGGAACGGAGGGGGGACAGCAAAGGGGGAGAACGGATGGGGGACAGCAAAGGGGGAGGAACAGGGGGGACAGCAAAGGGGAGGAACGGAGGGGGCAGCAAAGGGGGAGGAACGGAGGGGGACAGCAAAGGGGGAGGAACGGAGGGGGGACAGCAAAGGGGACGAACGGAGGAGGACAGCAAAGGGGGAGAAACGGATGGGGGACAGCAAAGGGGAGGAACGGAGGGGGGACAGCAAAGGGGGAGGAACGGAGGGGGGACAGCAAAGGGGAGGAACATGGGGGGACAGCAAAGGGGGAGGAACGGGGGGGACAGCAAAGGGGGAGGAACGGAGGGGGACAGCAAAGGGGAGGAACGGAGGGGGACAGCAAAGGGGGAGGAACGGAGGGGGACAGCAAAGGGGGAGGAACGGAGGGGGACAGCAAAGGGGGAGGAACGGAGGGGGACAGCAAAGGGGAGGAACGGAGGGGGACAGCAAAGGGGGAGGAACGGAGGGGGACAGCAAAGGGGGAGGAACGGTGGGGGACAGCAAAGGGGGAGGAACGGAGGGGGACAGCAAAGGGGGAGAACGGAGGGGGACAGCAAAGGGGAGGAACGGAGGGGGACAGCAAAGGGGGAGGAACGGAGGGGGACAGCAAAGGGGGAGGAACGGAGGGGGACAGCAAAGGGGGAGGAACGGAGGGGGGACAGCAAAGGGGGAGGAACGGAGGGGGACAGCAAAGGGGAGGAACGGAGGGGGACAGCAAAGGGGAGAGAACGGAGGGGGACAGCAAAGGGGGAGGAACGGAGGGGGACAGCAAAGGGGGAGGAACGAGGGGGGACGGCAAGGGGGAGGAACGGAGGGGGGACAGCAAAGGGGGAGGAACGGAGGGGGACGACTAAGTGGGAGGGGCGGAGGGGGATGAGAAAGGGGGGAACGGAGGGAGGACGACAAAGGAGGAGGAACGGAGGGGGGACGGCAAAGGGGGAGGAACGGAGGGGGACGACAAAGGGGGAGGAACGGAGGGGGGACGCAAAGGGGGAGGAACGGAGGGGGACGAAAAGGGGGAGGAACGGAGGGGGACGGCAAAGGGGGAGGAACGGAGGGGGATGACAAAGGGGAGGGGCGGAGGGGGGACAAGAAAGGGGAGAACGGAGAGGGGACGATAAAGGGGGAGGAACGGAGGGGAACAGCAAGAGGGAGGAACGAGGGGGGGACGGCCAAGGGGGAGACGGAGGGGGACAGCAAAGGGGGAGGAACGGAGGGGGACGACTAAGGGGGAGGGCGGAGTGGGGATGAGAAAAGGGGGAAACGGAGGGGGACGACAAAGGAGGAGGAACGGAGGGGGGACGGCAAAGGGGGGGAACGGAGGGGGGACGACAAAGGGGGAGGAACGGAGGGGGGACGGCAAAGAGGGAGGAACGGAGGGGGACGACAAAGGGGGAGGAACGGAGGGGGACGGCAAAGGGGGAACGGAGGGAGGACGACAAAGCGAGGAGGAACGGAGGGGGACGCAAAGGGCGGGGAACGGAGGGGGACGACAAAGGGGAGGAACAGAGGGGGGACGGCAAAGAGGGAGGAACGGAGGGGGACGACAAAGGGGGAGGAACGGAGGGGGGACGGCAAAGGGGGAGGGTCGGAGGGGGACGACAAAGGGGAGGGCGGAGGGTGGACGACGAGGGGGGAACGGAGGGGGACGACAAACGGGGAGGATGGAGGGGGACGACTGAGGGGAGGGGCGGAGTGGGGACGACAAAGGGGGAGGAGCGGAGAGGGGACGACAAGGGGGGGGGAACGGAGGGGGCACGACAAAGGGGAAGGAAAGGAGGGGTGACGGCCAAGGGGGCGAACGGAGGGGGGACGACAAAGGGGGAGGAACGGAGGTGGGACGACAAAGGGGGAGGAACGCAGGGGGGACAGCAAAGGCGGAGGAACAGAGGGGGACAGCAAAGGGGGAGGAACGGAGGGGGACAGCAAAGGGGGAGGAGCGGAGAGGGACGACAAAGGGGAGGAACGGAGGGGGGACGGCAAGGGGGGAGGTCGGAGGGGGACGACAGAGGGGGCGGCGGAGGGGACGACGAGGGGGGGGGAACGGAGGGGGACGGCAAGGAGGAGGAACGGAGGGGGACGGCCAAGGGGGAGGAACGGAAGGGGGACGACAAAGGGGAGGAG